AGCAGAGAGTGAATGTGACCACTCGCACTGTGGACACTGGATTGTCTGCAGCTTTTACAGACAATTCAGGAACAAACCTTCATTCAGATTTCTAGTTCTATCCTCTCTTCCTCTTAATCCCTGTGGTGTACATTGGCCTCAGCTCTCTGGCCCTAACCCAATGAGAGAAGGACTGTGTGGCCCAAAGGGATCAACCAGAAGTAAAGGCAGTCATGCTTCTTGCCCAAGAGTATGTTTGTTGGAAATTCTGCAACTCAAGAGATAACAACTGCAAAAGTGCTAGCTGGACAGGGAAACAGAAAAGAAAACCAAGTACCCTTAGGGTTGCTGGCTCTAGGAGGGTGGAGCTTGGGGAGGGTGAGGTTTGGAGAGAGGACTGGCTCAGAGTTCACCCCTCAAAGCAGCCATTTTTCTCCAGAGGAACTAATCTTGGTTGTCTGGAGATCAGTTGTAATAGCAGGAGATGTCCAGGTTCCACTTGGAGGTTGGCAACCCTAGGTACCCTAGGTACCCTACAAAGAGCTTTGTGTGTGTGCGCGCGTGCGCGCGCGTGCATTCTGATGGGCACTAGTATATCATACCGGCACGTTTGTGGTAGTGGTGGGGCTGCAGCCAGTATAGTCTCTCTTTTCATCCGCTGTTGTCATTAGCAGTTGTAACATGGGGATTAAGGGCCCAGGAAAGGACTGGCTCCGACATACCGGAGTGATAAGGCCCAGCCCCTGGCAGACCCCAGCCTCAGGAGAGAAGCTGGTGGGGGAGGTGTCTTGGGCATCAGATGGACCGGAGTTATGGAGGAGCCCACTGACAGCTGGGGGCTTATCTGGTGCCAGCAGGTAAGGGCCAGGCAAAAGAACTATGCATTTGCTATTCACAATGGAGAAAGGTTTCCTCTGATTAAAAAAGCCTTTCTTTGTTGAAAGAAGTCTTGCTGGAAGGGAGTCATAGGATCCAGCTCAGTGGAACAGCATCCTTTATATTTTCTGCACTTCTTGTTTTTGATGGACGGACATGATATTAAATATATGGTTATTAATAGCAGTGGTTGTATGCCAGTGACACAGTAAGGTAAATTCTAGCATTCCTTGTGTTTTTTCTAGACATTATTTTGATCACTACATTTCCCCTTTTCCTTTTTGCACTGGGTGGGAAAACACATAGGGTTCCCAGCCCTGTGCTGGGAAATACCTGGAGATTTTGGGGGGTGGAGTCCAGGGAGGGGAGGGATCTCATCTGGGTATCATGCCATAGAATCCACCCTCCAAGGCAGCCCTTTTCTCCAGATCTTGGTCATCTGGAGATCAATGGTCATAGCAGGAGAGCTCCAGGTACCACTTGGAGGATGGCAACCCTGGAGAACAGGGCAGGAGTCCTGGGACCACAAGCGTGGAGTTAAACCCGCAACACAGAGGACTTTGCCTGGACTTTTGGGTGTGGCCTTAAAGAACCTCCCATACATGCTCGTACATCTTGAAGTCACAAGGCAGTGTGGGTGACTTGTGAAAGCAACTGCCTCTCATCAGTCATTAAGTGCTTGCACAATGCCGCATGGATATCGGCTATTGAAAAGGTATCATTCACCACCACATTCCAGTATCTGAATTTGCAGCCACTCTCTGTTTATCAAGAGCAACCTACTTTGTTATGAACCCAAATGAACCTGCTGGGTTTCCGTTTTGTGCCATATGGGAAGTACATGTTTATAGCAGAACTAAAAATTTAGCATTTTCGTGTCTTCCAGCTCTTTGTTTTGCTTAAAGCAGTCTTATAGTCACACATTTAAATGAGGTAGGAAGCTAATTTCTTTTTTAAAAGAATACTGAATTGTTAGAACAAATCCTCATCCTTTTATTTCCCTAATTGACAAGCTCAACCTCTGCGGTGTGTGGAAAAGCAGCCTCTGTATTGGTCAAGGAAAGTGTCAGGTGGCTTTCTACACCATTGTCTGTTCAACAATGAAACAGTGCATTTGGCCACTGCATGACACAGAACTAGGAAGGCTGCTGAAGGTAGCTAAAATCTGACAGAAGTCCTGATTTGCAAGTGACCCAGAGGATGAACTTTGGATGATTGATGGGCTGTACATAAATTTTCTTGGACTCAAGAGCCAATGGGAAGTAGTGCCGGACTGGTTTCTTGGAGACCTAGGTTCAAACCCCCCACTCTGCCATGGGAGCTTACTGGGTGATCTTAGGCCATTTATAAACACTCAGCCTAGCATACCTTACAGAGTAGTTTGGGGACCAAATGGAGGAGACAGGAACTGTGTAAGCCACCCTGGGTCCTCAATGCAGAGAAAATGGGGTACAAATGAAGTAAATGAAATTTTTTTAAAAAATGATCCCCTTGAAGTGAACAGTGGGGATCTCAGTAGTAAATTTACTGACAATGCAAGTTTATGCAGAGTTACTTCAGTTTAAGCCCATTAATTTCAGTGAGTTTAGACTGGAGAAGCTGTGAACAGGATTACACTGTTAAACCAGTAGAAAAGAGATTTGTTATTTACTCCTAGGCCTCTTATCCATGATCATTTTGTGACAGGAGTTATAACACTGATAAATTACCACAAATGCTGCTGTACCCATACATGGGTGTGTACTTGCTCCTGAACAGCAGTAAGTATTAGCATTAAGAAGTATTATACTTACGCAAGGAAGCATGTTGCACCAGAGTGGCAATTATAGCACCACATACACCACCAAGAATTACAGCTATTAGATCACTTCTGATGTTAACTTATATAAAAAATGTGTTAGCCATCAGTGCCTGTGATTATAATACCAGTGGTCTACTGCCAGCAGTAATCTTGTAGTTTGCTAATATGGTAGGTGGAGTTCCCGCTCTCCTGGTTTATTCCTTTGAGGTAACAAAGTATTGCCAGCTCTGTTCTCTTACCACCAGTAATATTTGGTCACATATATGGAGGTTAAGAGCTTAAGGTGTTGGATAACTATTTGCCCTACTGGGGAAAACCCCACATATGATGAGACACAAGTAATAGGGCAAATAGTGCTCCTCTCAGGGCTCTTTCTGGATGAAAAAATGGTACAGAGGGAAGGCTTAAAGTAACCTCTCCCTATATGCCACAGTCCTGATCCAGGCATCTCATCCCATACATACCTGGTAATTAGGTTCAGGGCACAGAACTCACAGGGCCTATTTAATGGCCAGGACACAGGGAAGACATGAGAAAAACACATGTCATTTGGGACTGAGTAGACACTTCAACCACCGAGTTCCATAATGTTTGCTTTATCAGAGACCATTTCCACAGTAGTGAAATTCCCCACATTGACATTTTAAAAACTGTGTTATGTGAAATTTTTCCTCACCAGGCACAAACCTGAATTTTTCTCCTTCTTACCCTGCAGTTTTGGAATTCACCAAAAAGGGGGATTCTGAAAATGCGGGGTAAGAAGGAGAAAACGTCAGATTTGTGCCTGGTGAGGAAAAATCTACTGCGGAAAATCTCACAGAACACACAGTTTTTAAAACATCAATGTGGGGGATTTCACTACTGCAGAAACTGTCATACATGCCTTTGTGTCTGCGAGGTCTCAACAGAATCAACAGTCACAAGAATTCTTTGAGAGATAGGGGTGAAAGATGGTCATTTACAATGTGAGGGCTACCACTGTGGTCATTTACAATGTGAGGGCTACTCTACATTTTGCAAAAACCTGCCTGTTCATCATGTGTGGAAAAACAGAAAGAGACTGGGAAGTCTAAGCAGTCAAAAGATATGGCAGGACTTTGCAAATGCAACAGCTGACAATAGGACAGTTAAAAAAAATAAACACAAATAATGTGGGGGCATTTAATGGATACAACATCCATCTGTGCTAGTACCCTTAAGAAATAACCTATTTCAAACCAAGCAGATAGGGAGTCATGATAAATGAGTCAGAGGGGTAAAGATTCCTCACACTGAAGTTTTCTTATTAAAACTTTTTCTTATTAAAACTTGGACTTTTCTGTAATGTTTAGATTTAGACCTGTCAGCCTAATCCAACCTGAGGCACTTGTCATGAAGGCAGTCTTTAGAGTCTTGAGTGAATTTATCTCTCTCTCTTGTCAAGTGTTGATGCTGCCTTTGGGGGCTTCTTAGAGGCATGTCCCTGCTTCTACGTGCTCAAAACAACCCAGGTCTCCAGTGCATCTCCTCTTCTTATGTATAGCTCCTATTGTTTCTTACTAGCAACCTAATACCTGCCTCACAAGTGTCAAATGGAATGTCTGGGCCTTTTCAAAAAGGAAAAAAAAGAAAAATGCTTACTATAATGAGTGTTGTCAGGAGAAACGTGCTCACAGCCATCATGATAAAGCTGTCAAGGAACCATGTGAACCAGATCACCCCGTTGGTGACCCCCCTGTTCTTCATGGCCTCCTTTAGTTTCATTTCTTTCTCCAGCACGATGCTCTTTACTATCATGGAGACAGAATAGATCCAAGCCAATACCATGAAGATGGGGAAGGAACGGTTCAGAGTAATCATGAAGCTGCCCAGGGAAACAAAGAAAACACAGATAAAATTAGCTGTTGTCAAGAAGCAATAGGAGGACACAGATACACTCAAGATTTGTCATTCCCTCTCCTCAGAAAATCCTGGGAATTGTAGTTGTGTGAGGGCTGGCTGGGGAGGTACAATCCTAAGCACCTTTCCTACATTATAATGGGGGGTGGGTGGGTTGGAAGAAACCATGAAATTTAAGCTGGTATAAAATTTATTTATTTATTTATTTATATTTATATCCCACCCTCCACACATAGCAGGCTCAGGGCGGGTTCCATCAGATTTAGTAAACAATATACGGTATACAAAAATTAAAACAATTAAAACACCAACAAAATACAACAACATTGATCCGGTGAAAGTTATAGTTAAAGCCTCACAGATGCCATCTCTTTCAAGATATGGTCCTTAGATGGTAATTTATTGAACTTTGTATTAGATATACTCCTTGTAAGATATAGCAGTGATTTATAAAAATAAACTACTGGCCTACTTCATGGCTGAAGCTTTTAGAAGCCTTCTGAAGGGGAGGTAGCCCAACTCCAGGTTTAAAACCCAATGGGATTTCTTCCTCAGCATTAATTTGAAAATCCCAGGTTGTAGTTACGGTGACAATCAAGTGCAGGGGGACAAATGGCATGCTTTAGAAGCACAGGCTATCCCATACATACACAGGCTATCAACAGCTCCAGCTCCCTCCTTCCATCTTTTTTGAGGCCTATAGATTAATTCAAAACGCAGAGCAAGGGGAAGCAATAGAGGCTACATACCTCACTCCATTCATGCTGGCAGACAACGGGGTTGCACTTACCTGTAACCGTTGTTCATCGAGTGGTCTTCTGTGCAGGCACAGATGGGGACTACGCTTTCACAGGCTGGCCACAGAGAGGAGCTAGCAAGCTTTACAGAGAAGTTTATAGAGACCAAGAGTGCTCCCCCTCCCCCTCCAGTGTACGCTTCCCTGCCCAAAGGGTCATGTGACAGAGGAGGGGCGAGCACTCTTCCCTCTCTTTGCCCCCGTAAGGAGTGAGCATAAGTAGAGAAGCCCACAGCGGGGACAGGAGAGAGGGATGTGTGCTTGCACAATGAACAACAGTTACATGTAAGTGCAATGCCATTTTCATCTTCATGGCTTCTGTGCAGTCCTCCATGAGGGAACAGAAAGGTCACTTACCGAGGAGGAGGGTGTGGGCTGGATCAGCAGATTGACTGTAATACTGCCTTCCCCACAGCTGCCTCTCTCCAGGAGTCGACATCCATGGAGTAAAGCCATAACAAAAGTTGAGGGTGTTGACCGGGTGGCTGCCCTGCATACATCCTCGAGAGGTAGCCTGAATGAGAAGGCTGCTGATGAAGCCTGAGGCCTTGTAGAGTGTGCAGCTAAAATGACCGGACAGCTCCTGCCTGTTTCAGTGTATGCTGCTCCAATTGTGGAAACTATCAATCTAGACAAGGTTTGTGCAGAGGCGGCCTTCCCTTTATTGCAGCCTCTGAAACAGCCTCTGTCCCTCCTAAAGCCCTTTTTAAATAAAAGAGGAGAGCCCCTCTAACGTGTGCAGCGTCTTTTTTGATATAGAAGTCAGGGAAGGGAAGAAACCCAGAAAGTGATGTCCTGACCTGACCCATGTGGAACTGGGAGACTATCTTAGGGAGGAATTCCAGATGTGGTCTCAGCACCACCTTATATATATATATGAAATTTTAGAAAGGGAGGGTCACAGCAAAGTGCGCTTAGTTCCCCCAACTTGTGGGCAGAGGCGATAGCCACCAAAAATGTTGTCTTATATGAAAGAAAAGACAAACCAGACCCTGCCATTGGTTCAAATGATTTATAAATAAATCTGGGCAAAACCAGAGATAAACTCAGGCCCGTAGCCTGCGTGGGGCCCACGGGGCCTGGCCTCCCCCGCTGGTTTTGCAGGGCCCCTCCCCTGCTCCCCCTTCCCCTCCCAAATCAGCTCTGCTGCCGCCGCCCTGACTGGCCCTGACTGTCAGGGTCCCGGCTCCAGCCACAGCCCTTCCTGCCTT